TCTTGTGCATCTCCCCTCTCTTCGTATCAGCTGGACGCTTCATTCTCCTGTCTAGTCCTCTGTGGCCATGTCATTGCCTGTGGGCCCAGGAGTCCCTGCCCAGGTCTTGCTGTAACTGCTGGCCATCCATGTCTCCTACCGGGTTCACAGGAGTCTGTTGAATGTGGTCAGACTTAGATCCCAACTTCACTGCTGTTTTCTTTCCCCCTCTTCTCCTTATCAGTGACCAACGTGGTCACCAGCCAGACCACATGCCTGCTTGTGTATTACCTTGAAGACTCCCTTTATTTATGGATAGTGGTGTGCTATGGAATCGGTTCCGACTCATAGTGACCCTGAGCAGGATTTCCAAGTCTGTAAATCTCTATGGGAGCAGAAAGCCTCATCTTTCTGCCATGGAACAGCTGGTGGTTTCAAACTGCTGACTGTGAGGTTAGCAGCCCAACTCATAACCAGAGACACCAGAGCTTCATTTTTTATATATAATATTTTAAAAGTCCTTTAAAAAAAAATGAGAATAGTCTTTTATAAATTTACATATCTTGAGTTTAAGGAATAAATTATCAGTCATTTATCTTCAGTAACTTATTCCTGTTGTTCTGGTTAGGGTAAGGCATTTATTTGCTTGAGCTGATTCAGTTTTGAAAGACAAGCGTATATGGTGATAATATCTTTCCAGTAAACCTTGTACTATTTCTGTGTCTACATATGTTAACATTTTTATAATTGGCTTCCAAATGACCAACACAGATGTCTGTCGTCTGAATTTTCAGCATGGTTTTGAATATATGTTTTCGTAGTAACTTAAAGTGCCTCACTTCACTATTAGGTGATTAACTAATCGAATAGTTTCTTATTTGGGGATTCTGCTTTTTGCATATCTGCTAGCTTGCCATTTTTCATATTAAAAATAAAGGCAGCTTACAGGAGTATAAGAAATTGGATTTATAGTATAATCTTGTTTCTTCACATTTTTATAAAAGATAATTCTTTTTTAAATTTTATTTGAAAGTATATGCTTTAGTAGTTGTATACCAATATTCCTTGCAGCACTACTGACAGTAAAGTAACCAAAAGGTAGCAACAACCCAAAAGATACCATGAGCAGATGAATGGATAAACAAAATGTGGTACATACATACAATAGAGAGTTATTTAACTATAACAAGAAGTGAAGTTCCAACACATGCTACCACTTGGATGAATCTTGAAGACATACTGCTGACTGAAATAAGTTACACATAATTGAGCACATTTTTATGATCTCACTAATATGCAATATCTGGAATAAGAATATATAGAGATACCAGAGTTTATTAAGTGTATATCAGGGGTGGGTTGTTGTTGTTAAGTGCCGTTGAGTCAGCTCCGACCCATAGCGACCCTGAACAGGGTTTCCGAGGCTGTAAATCTGTACAGGAGCAGAAAGCCTCATCTTTGTCCCGCAGAACAGCTGGTAGTTTTGAACTGCTGACTTTGCGGTTCGCAGCCTGATTTGCAACCACTACACTCCCAGTAGGATGGGGGAAATAGAAGTTATTGTCTAAAGGGCACTAAGTTTCTGTCACCAGTTGCTCCCCAGTGTTAATCCCATGTATGTCAGAGTAGAACTGTACTTGTAGGGTTTTATGTGGCTGACTTTTAGGAAGTAACTTACCGGGCCTTTCTTCCAAACAGAACTCTTGATAAAAAGGCATTATGAGCATTGTTTTTGAGAATTTAAATTTTGTTTGTTAAGTGAAAGAGATTATGATAAGAAAGATTATTTTTGTGTTTTAGTAAGTAACTAGAAAATCATATTAATTTGAAACCATGGAACATTTTTAGGGAGCAGAATCAGGTAGGTTTGCTGTATCCTCTGATTTCTCATATTCTAAGGAACACTGCTTAAACTGGTTGTTTGTGGTAACTTTTCTATAAAAGACAAATTGAACCTCTTTCACTTAAAGACCTACTTATTGAGCGCTGGCCTCTGAGTATATATCAGTGAACAAAAGACCTTACTTTCATAAACCTTACATTCTGATTAATTGTTGTGGGAAAGCAGTGACTTCCTGTAATCAGTAACATAGTGCTAAAACGTTTGCTAATTTTATGGCTTTAGAAGTGATTCCTGTTGGCCTGGTGGTGTAATCGATTAAGGATTCAACTACTGGCCAAAAGGTTGATAGTTCAAACCCACCCAAAGGTACCTCAGAAGACAGGCCTAGCCATCTGCTTCTGAAAGTTTTAATATGCCAGATGGCTACAGTTCAGATCATGCTATACATATCCATAAAATTTGGTTAAAATCTACATAGTTGTTTTCTTGCGTTGAAGCAACAGACCCTACGTACCAGGTATTTCTGATGCCTAAGGAGCAGCATTAAGGAGCTCTGGTAGCGTAGTGGTTACGACTCGGGCTGTGAACTGCAAGGTCAGCAGTTCGAAACTACCAGCTGCTCCGCGGGAGAAAGATGAGGCTTTCTACTCCCGTAAAGATTTACACCCTCGGAAATCCTGTACAGGGTCGCTATGAGTCGGTTCCGACTCCACGGCACATAACAACAACAACAACAAGGAGCAGCATTACTCTGCACGTGGGTTTGTTGTGAGTTGAAATCAATTCAGTGACAACTAGAATCAACAGCAGAAGTAACTCTCCTAAACACTATAAGACAATCCATTTCTCTTCCCCATTTCTACCTATTAACTTTCAGTTGGGTTTATTTAATAATGGGTACATTTTTCTCTAACAATGTTTATTTTAAAAACTAACTATATTCTCAGCTGTCTTAATGTATTTTGAGCATAAATAATGAAATTGAGCAGAAATATCAAAAAGACTATTACTACTTATTTTCTTGGATTTGCATTATTCTCCTTGAGGGCTCCTATCTTTCTGAATAATATGCTTAGACTTTCTGTTAAACTTACAGATAGTGTAGTTAAGTGACCCAGTTGGTTCTTTGTAAGGGTGAATTTGGTATCCACCAAAGTAGTATAAATACATTCCAACAACTTAATAATGTACAAATGGAAACAGCTGATCTTGCACCTGTTTCTTATGTAGACATAAGGTGGAATGATTGGCTGGTTTCTAAATAACTGGGGGGGAGGGGAGGTTTGAATGTAATTTATGTTTATAGATTCTGAGTAATATTTTTATAATCTACAAAGTCACATGATTAGAAATTTCTGATCTATGAGTAGGTGCACACTTGAGTAAACAGTACTCAAGGTTTTCTTGTTCTACTTCAGAAAAAATAAGTATAAAATATGTTCTATGTTATTCTATAAACTCACTTATTTGTCAGATTTATGTGTTTAAACACATCAACTTCACAGTTAATACTGTTGTTTTAATATGTATAGTAAGAAAATTACTGTTAACAGGACTAGTAAATAGTTCTCATACTACTAGTGACATTACAACTCATTAAGGCACAAAGGGACTATACCTGTTTTTATTCTTTTCTCAGAATGATTGAAAAATTCAATATTAAAGGCATTGAAGATTAGTAGTTGTTTCATGTAAAAATTAGAAAGTTTGTTACATAAAAAGGAAATTTCAGATGTACATAAAAGAAAATCACCTGTAATCTCAACTCCAAAAGCATACCAACTTTATTATGTTTATATTAGAATTTATCTACTGCAAAGTCAGTTTGAACTGCAAGGTCGGTGGGTCACACTTTCCAGTTGCTCCTTGGAAATGCTGTCCAGGGTCACTATGGGTCATAATCAACTCAGCGGCACTTAACTACAACAATGTATACATTGGAGACCTGGTGTGGTGCTGTGGGTTAATGTGTTGGACTACAAAGTTGGTTTAAATCACAAGATTGGCAGTTCAAGCTCACCAGCCACTCCTAGGAAACCTAGAACTGACTCGATGGCACTAAAAGACAGCAATGTGTACATTAGGAGCCCTGGTGTGGCACTGTGGATTAATGTGCTGGACTGTAAGGGAAATTTGAGTTGCAAGGTCAGCAGTTTAAGTTCACTGGCCACTCCTTGCAAACCCTATACAAGGTCACTATAAGTCGGAACCAACTTAATGGCACTTAACATATGTGTGCATTAGAATTTACCTATGCTTGGTGTGACGCTGTAGGATAAACACTGGACCGCCAGGTCAGTTTGAACCGAATTTTTGGAGTCCTGGTATGGCACTGTAGGATGATGCACTGAACTGCAAGGTCGGTTTGAATCACAAGGTCAGCAGTTCAAACGCACTGGCCACTACTCAGAAATGCTATACAGGGTCGCTATGAGTTGGAACTGACTCCAGGGTCGTGGAGGGGCTGAAGTTCACGTGGTTCACTAGTCCATTGGACTCAGTGTTTCCTTGTGTCTTTGATTTTCTTCGTTCTTCTTCATCCCTCTTTCCTCCAGTTGCGGAGAGACCAACAGTTGCACCACTCATAGGAGTTTTAAGACCCTGCCACTACTCAACAAAGTGGAATATAGAACGTTGTCTTTGTGGACTGTGTTATAGTCCAGTTGATCTCAGTATCCACCAAGACTATGGTCCTGAGCCCTCAGGCCCAGCAACTCATTTCCACAAGGTGTTTGGTTACACCCAACTGTGTGCTAGTTTTCTTTTCTTTATATATGGCATTTTCAGTTCTTACTTTTAAGTATTTGAATGATGATATTGTTAAGTTCAGTCGAGTCATTTCTGACCCATAGTGACCCTGTATAGGGTTTTCTGAGGAGTGGCTGGTGAGCTTGAACCACTTACCTTGTGGTTCAAACAGACTTTGCAGTCCAGCACATTAACCCACAGCGTGACAACAGGACTCCATTTGAATGATAGTCATTCAGAAATATCTAGTTTCTTTGCAATCAGTAGTTATTTTTTGTAATTAGTGACTGTTAACAGTTGTCATTTTAATTTGGCAATAGCTTGGTCTTTTAAATAATTTGTTTCCAAGCCTGCTTTTTTTTCTTAGTGGTAATAAAGAAAAATTATCTTTAACGATAATGGCAATTTCTTTCTTTCTTTTTTTTTGTAGCTTGCCCAGTTTCGACAAAGGAAAGCTCAGTGTGATGGGCAGAATCCTTCCAAAAAACAGAAAAAAAAGAAGAAAACTTTGAGCAGTCAGCAGGATATGTCAGCCTATCATGCCATGAGTACAGATCAATCCCAGACTAATGAGATGGTCATAAGTAGTTCTCAGAGAGAAGGAGCAGCCGTGACTCCTGAATCTACAGTCATGAGAACTTTACACAGTGGAGAAATAATCAAGCATGACCAGGTCTTCTCTGTTGAAGTAAGTATTCATTCATATTTTTAAACATTATAGTTCTTAAATGGAAAGTTGGTGTAATGACAAAACTCAGGACCCTGGGCAATTTGATCCTGGTTTTGTCTCTTTTTGAAAGATTCAGTAGGATGATAAATAATGTCTAAAATATTCAACAACCTTTGAGAGGGAGTTTTGTGAGCTTGATTCAGCAACCATTTTATTGAGCAACTGTGGTATGCTGCACACCGAGGATGGAAACAAAGATGAATATGATTGTGTTTTTGGCTTCGTAATGACAGTTTACACATGATGCTATGAGGAAGTACCTCTTGAGACATTCATATTTAGAAAAATGTCGAGCAATAAATTTTACATGTGTAAATTTAATTATTGTAATTTATTATTTTTAAATGAAATTTTAAAAGATTTGAATAATTTTCTGGTAATCATTTACATGAATTTTCTATCATGTTACCAACAGTAATTGCCTAATAAAGTATATTTAGCCCAAAAAAAGAGCCATAATTGTAATTGATTTTTACTTTTATTTTAGCCAGAAAGTGAAATTTCAACCACAGCAGATGATTATAGTTCAGAGGTAAGTACAGATAAATTATTTCAAATGTCCTAAGTTGATACTTTATATTGTTACTGAAATTATTATTTATTACTGATGCTTTATTTCCTGAAACTCACAGGCTTCTACTGTGATTTATAAATATAGTATAATATTAGTATAGTACAATTGAATGTAAATGGTTAAAAAAATCTAAAGATTATCTTTTACTGATCTTTCCAGATTGTTAGCCAAGTCTAATATCTGCTTTAATAGTTTAATAGCTTACTACTTAATTAGTTAGAAACCCAGCTTTCGTTTTTGAGATAGTCTTTGATACTGAGTTCCTAGGATACATGGCTGTTACAAGGTATCTATGTTGAACACAGTTAAAATTTGATAATGTAAGATGTCTCATTTTGAGTAATGCTTTTTACAAATGCTTGAATTCTAGTTAAGATTATACTGACTTACTGAAATTAGTGTTTTAATAGTGATTTTTATTCTCAATGATAGAAGCAAATATAGGCATTGGCCACTTAAGTAAATACCTTTTGTGTGTTGCTAAAAGGAGTGACTGGACTACACTGCTAACAGCAAGCAGGTTGGCAGTTCAAACTCATCAGCTGCTCTGTGGGAGAAAGATGAGACTTTCTGCTCCCATACAGACTTCCAGACTCGGAAAGCCCATACAGGGTCTCTGTGAGACAGATTTGACTTGATGGCACCTAATTAAACTAACAATACTATTAAGTTTAGGGTGCCCTGGTTGTGCTGTGCACTAGGTGTTGGTCTGGTAATTGCAAGGTGGGTGGTTCAAACTTAACAGCTGCTCCTTGGAAGACAGATGAGGCTGATTTGCTCTCATAAAAATGTGTAGTCTTGGCAGCCTATAGAGGGTCACTATGAATCAGAATCAATTTGATGGCAGTGGGTTTGGTTTGGGTTTGGATTAAGTATATGTCATTTAAAAATATTTTTCTGATTCTTTTAGATATGGTTATCATTTATTTGGTCCAGCCAACAGATGAGGGCATGGAACATTCGAACTTACTCTGAATGGCTCAGCAACTTAGTGTATTCCATAAGTCTCAATTTATTGTAGGTTTCTCATAGAAAACAAAATTAATCTCATGTTCTTAAAGGAACATATTACTCTTGTGAATCACTGATGGAAATAGAAACTTTGACATTTCAAAAGTTTAATATGTTTGAAAACAGGAATATATTAGTTGTACTCTGGGAAAATTGTGAACCATTGTTAAAGATACATAAATTGTTGCCTGACTCAGGCTACCTAAAGTTGCCTCTACAGTATAATTTTACTTTATTGAATTAGAGAAAAGTTATGTTGAATGTGGATTATTCAGTATATTACATACAATTCCTTATTGAACACAGAGAATGAATTTATGAATAGTGATGCCATCACTTCGTAATAGTCTCAATTACTCAAGATGATATTTGTAGATATTTATAAGCCTCCATTACACTGTACTGTTACTCTGAAGTAAAAATTTTAGTAGGAACTTCTAAAAATACTTTTTCAGAATAAAAAAAAGCTAATTGAAATGTAAGTGTTTAATTTGAAAGTTATTTTAAGTGATTTCATATTCATAATCGTAAGCATTAGTACTAGTGTCTTCTGATAGTTTTTACAAATTACAATATTGTGTTACTGTATTGATGGATTTTTTCAGTTTTTTTTTAGTTTTCTTTTTCAGAAATTAACCTTAGGATAAATAAATACAAAGGAATCAAACTCTGATAAACACTTCTTAATTGAAATCTTCACTTTTTAGGGTTCTGATACATAATGAGTTTAACCCTTATTCTAGGATATTCTATTTTATATATTTCAATAGTAAAAGCGTCATTAACTTTAATTATATTAGCTTAGAGTGGCAAATAATTGAGATGTGGTCAGGGGTGAAGTTCACTTTTATAATGTTATTGGGGAAAGAAGGGTAAATGGATAAATTGATCTAAATTTAATCTATTGCTAGGTCAAATCTGAAAACATATTCTGTCACCTTCCTTTACTCTCACAAAAAGTATTTGTGATGGAGGTAGGCAGTAACAGGGAAACCTCCATTTGATTCAGGGGTGGCATGGTTATCTTACTGTGACTTCCATAGCAGAATTTGGAGGGAGTATCCATCCCTTACTTCTTAATCCCCACCTACCATTGACCCTCAAGGAATTTATGCCAGTAAGCTGTTTTACTTGAAAATGGATAGAGTTTAATTAAAAATAATTATTGAAATGATTTTACAGAAGTATTTTATAGAAGCAAGCTAGTAACTTGAGGTGTGTAGTAGTATCCTTCTGAAGATGCAAACCTATTTGTACTTAGTTTGAACTTTAATTCACTTAAGTGAAAATATGTAGTACAGTGCCTTTTACATAATAAGCAGTCAGGTGTGTGAGGAATGATTGACAATTGAAATTGTCAGCATGTCTTTTAGATGCTTCCGTTAAATTTAATTCCTGTATCTGTTTTTGTCAATGAGGCATTTCCCCCAAACATACAAGATGTGTGGATACAGAATGTAATTGTTAGCTTTAAATTAAATTCTATCTAAAATTATATCAGGAAATTGTTTTTATACAGGTAAATGGTTGCAGTTTTGTGATGAAAACAGAAAAACCTACAAATTTATTAAGGGTACAGTATTTAAAACTGCTCATGATACTAATGTTTTTAATCGTTTTAAAACTATCTAGCTTACTAACAAAGCTTTTTCCTGCATGTACTTCTTTCAAAGTATGACTTCTAAATGCTTTTAACATGTAACAAAACAAGTTTCTCGCCTTTTGTTTTAAAGCTCAGTATTAACTGAATTGACAGATGTCCTGTTTATGTTCTTGATGTACTTATCACATTAACAACAAAACTGATTGCCATAGCAGTAAACTCCCAGGTTTGAGTGATACTTTAAGGTCAACTTGGCTATGGAAGCCAATATTTGAGTCCCTCTTCCTGAGGAATGTTGCTCATATTGAGTCTTTAAAATCTTGGATTGATTTAGGAAGAAGAATTTGGTGTTGATGATTCATATTCTGAGCATGGAGCACAATACAGTCAGACTCACCTAGAGATGATGGAAAATGAGTTGGCTGGGAAACAGCATGAGATTGATGAGCTAAACAGAGAGCTAGAAGAAATGAGGGCCACCTATGGGACTGAAGGGCTGCAGCAGGTATGTGTACTGCCCCTGGCTTTTAGATATCTACTCACAAAACAAAAATAGGAAATTTGAATAATTACATGTATGTATGTATATATATAAACCCACTTCTGCCACATTGATTCTGACTCATAGCATCCCTATAGAACAAAGTAGAAAGGCCACGTAGGCTTTCCAAGGCTATAAATCTTTACAGAATTTGACTGCCACCTCATTTTCCCATGGAGCGGCTATTGGGTTTAAACTATTGACCTTCCAATTCCCATCCAAGCACTTTAATCACTGTACCACTAGGGCTATATGTGTGTTTATCCATATATAAAATGGCTTCAAAAAGTTTATGGAAAATATAATTAAAAGATAATAGAATTTTTCCATGAACTCTATGAAACCCCTTCGTGTGTGTGTGTGTAATATAAAAATGAGATTTTAAAAAATGGTAACCTAACATCATTTTATAATGCTTGTCCTTATATGAGGGGGGCTTCTAAAAGTCCATGCAAAATGAAATTATGAGACAATAGAATTTTTCATGAACTTTTTGAAGCCCCTTCATACATAGCATTTAAAAAGTGCTGCTTAAACCTAGGACAAGGGTTAATAGAATGTGTACTCTTAATTAATTATATGAGATACCTAGGCTGAAGTTACTTTAGTAAGATGTTGCTGTTAAGTGCTGTTGAGTCCAGTTCTGACTCGCATCCACCGTGTGTGGGGTTTTCAAAGAGCAGCTGGTGGGTTTGATCACTGACCTTGCAGCCAGCAGTCCAGTGCTTATCCTATAGCACCACACCAGGGCAGTATGATAGACGTTTTTTAATAAGCCTGGAAGAAAATTATGGTGCAAACCCCATCAAAATATTATGACTTAAGCCCATTAATAATGTCATTGAGTTGTGGTAAATAATCTTTTGTGATGAGAGTCACATCTGTTGTCTGTGGCTGTTGTTGTTCAAGTGCCTTCGAGTCAGTTCTGATCCATAGCCACCCGATATTGGATTTCCAGGGAGCAGCTGGTGGGTTTGAACCACTGACCTTGTAGTTAACCAGGAGTCCAATGTTCGTGGTAGTCAGCTGTATATGATTAGATGAAATAAGACATGGTTGAGGATGATAGAATATATTCAATTTCATCCTCTCCAAGATGTTTTCTCCAGAAATAAGTGGAGATTTAATGCTGTCATTATGTAGGAGCAAGACTGGAGACCCCCCTGAATCTAAAAGCACTTGCCCTTCTGGAAGTAGAAAAGTGGATAAGTCAGACTTAATGTATTTTTTTTAGTTCAGATAAGTTTCTCAAAGTTGATTTAAGAAGGAAAACTATTCTTGTGTAAGTTTTCAAATATGTAAAAAATAAAAATAAAAAAACAAAAAAACTTCACAAATTGTAAGAAGTTTGTTAGCACATTTTGAATCTCAGATGCGGGTATATGTATATATTTCATAATATTTTATTGTGTCTTGGTAAAGTTTACACAGCAAGTTAGGTTTCCATTTAACAATTTCTTTGTATAATGTGCAGTAACATTGTCTGTCTTCCGGTATGTCAATCATCACGTTATTTTCATTCCGTTTGTTCCATTTCAATTATTCTACGTTCCCTGTCACCTTCCACTCCCTAACCCCCTCTCATTTGCTGTAGGATAAATGTTGACAGTTTGGTTTCGCGTAAATGATTTTGAATCTCAATATTTTTAATGAACAGTTGCTTATAGTAATAATTTTTGTTTAAAAACAAGGTCTAACAATTTTTTTTCACTATTTCTTTCAGTTACAAGAATTTGAAGCTGCCATTAGACAAAGAGACGGCATCATAACAAAGCTCACTGCTAATCTGCAGCAAGCAAGAAGGGAGAAAGATGAGACAATGAGAGAATTTTTAGAGCTGACAGAACAAAGTCAAAAATTGCAGATTCAATTCCAGCATGTAAGTATTGCTACAGGGGAAAAAAAAAATCAACTTTTAGTAATGATCCTTTTTTAAAATTTTCTTACAGTTTCCAGAGCTAAATCTGTAAAAGAACCATTTACTTATTAGGTATCATGCTAAAAAAATTATGAAATATTTCTTATTATGTTAACCAATAACTTAATTCATAATTTTTGAGTGATTTCTTGCTCTTAGGTTTTTTGGGGTCTTTTTCCCTTATGAGTAGGTCTTCTCTGTCTCTATATTGGAGTCCTACAAACCTTATAAGACTGGTTGGTAGATTTTTGCAGATTTTAATTTGTAGTCATATCTTATCTTTGCCAACCCTCATCTGATTTTATTCCAGTTAGGTTCTACAAGGGTAGCTAGATTGAATATTATTTGATTACTTATTATACTTAAGGAGCTCTGGTAGTGTAGTGGTTACGAATCATGCTGTGAACCACAAGGTCAGCAGTTTGAAACTACCAGCTGTTCCGCAGGAGAAAGATGAGGCTTTCTGCTCCCGTAAAGATTTACAGCCTCGGAAACCCTGTGTTAATGCGCCAGACTGCAAAGCCATTTGAACTGCAAGGTCGGCGGTTCAAGCTCACCAGCTGCTCCTTGGAAACCCTATACAGGGTTGCTAAGAGTCA